GCTCTGCCTGCCTTTCTCAAGTGCCTTAGGTTCCCGTGGAGCCTCCCAGCCCGATTTTGGTGATAGTTTCTGCGAGTTAAGTGAATCCAGCAGCCCCGCTCACTGGCACAGCCCAGACTAACGCCCTGTCTCCTTTCCTCCCTGCAGTGGCTCAAGGACCCTGGGCCCCGCAATGAGAAGAGGACGCTGTTCTGCGACATGGTGTGTTTCCTCTTCATCACTCCCCTGGCCGCCATCTCGGGCTGGCTGTGTCTCCGGGGAGCCCAGGATCACTTGCAGTTCAACAGCCGCCTGGAGGCCATTGGACTCATAGCACTAACTATAGCACTTTTTACAATCTACGTCCTTTGGACGCTGGTGAGTGCACACGGGAGCGTCGCTGCCCGGGGCCCTGTTTGCTTCAAGGAGGAGGTCGGGGTAGTGGCTGGAGCTTGTTTTGGTGCTGCCCACCACTTTGCTGACCCCCTTCCTGAGCAACACTCAGCCTCTTTGCTTCCACATCCGTTTAATTATCATTAGATAATTAATTGCATACCCTTCGGTGCAGGGGGAGCAGCCGGTGCTCTGTGCCGCCGCCTGGGGAGCTGCCCAGGGCAAGCTTCATTTCTGGGGCAAGTGGAGCTCAAATGGGAAGCGCTTCCATCCTCCCAGGCCTGCTCCAGAGCCCCGTTATTCCGAGTGTCAGGGGGGCCGGCCACATCCGCAGGCCGGGCACAGGGGCCAGGGTAACGCGATGCTGCTGCTGCTTTCATAGAGCAGGAGCTTTCCTGGGCTCCACGTTATTAGCTGCCCCTTAGCACTGGCTCTGGTCACTGCAGCAACACGACGAGAGGCTTTTGCTTCTCTTCTGTAGGTAAATAACGTTATTTTCACAGTTGTATTGGGAAAAGACAGGAGTGGGAATAGGCTGCATTCCCCCACGCGTGGCCCGGCTCCAGTGCTGGTAGCAGATAGGAGCATCCTCCCTCTACGAGCACTTTGCTTGTCGGGTTTTCCAGCTGAGCGACACGAGATGATTCCCGAACTTCTACAAAACCAGGAATTTTGGTGTTGATGAGTGGCTGGCTAGATTAAGTATTCAATTTTCTTCGTTGCAATTTTGAGGGAAAGGAAAAAACAAAAAAGATGCAAGGAAAATAGTGCATTTTTTTCCGCTTCTATTCCTCAAAATTTTCCAGAAACAGGGAATCAGCGCGTTGGTGGTATAGTGGTTAGCATAGCTGCCTTCCAAGCAGTTGACCCGGGTTCGATTCCCGGCCAACGCAGCAAGCAGTTTTTTGGCCTCGATGCTCTCGAAGGTCTTTTCCAGTCATAATGATCCTGATTTCAAAGTAAAGGAAGCGGTAGGAGAAAATCCGGGGATGTTGGGGATAGCGCAGGGGGGCTGAGCGAGGAGGGGAGGCAGCGGGGCGAGCTCGGAGCTGCCTCTTGCAGGGCCGGCTCTTCCCCGGCCTCCTCTGCTCTCTCCCCCTGGCGGCCTCCGTGCGGAAACGGCTGCCTCTGGAGAAGGAGTCTTGTCGGAAGCGGTTCGGAAAGATGGAGCCGAGCGCTGCTGCTGCAGACCAAGGAGAGAAGGTCTCTGCATCGGATCCCCCGGGATCTGTCGAGGCTGGAGGAGTTGGGGTGCATTTGGCTGCTTCTCGGCTGGTCTCTCTGAGCGCCCTGGTTTTGCCCAGCCTTGGTGCTGCCTTCGCTCTGTCCCCGGGATGAAGGAGCCACTTGTGGTTCTTCCCTTCCCCCTCCCTGTGGCTTTTCTCCCAGCCCCAGTGTGTCGCTCTGTGCTGGTGCTGCCCAGGAAGCCCCTTTGGGTGTCTCGGTCCCGTGTGAGCAGGAGATGGATTTCCCTTCCCAGGCTGTCGCGTGGAGCACCCGGAACGGTCCGGGCTTAGTGCTGCCTCCGTCGCCTCGGGGCGCTGGTGGAGGAGCCGGGAAGCGTGGCCGGAGCGGACGGGTTCCCGACGGCTCTTCCAGGAGGGAGGTAACCAGAGCGCTGCCTTGTTGCCCCCCAGGTTTCGTTCCGCTACCACTGCCAGCTGTACTCGGAGTGGCGCAGGACCAACCAGAAAGTCCGCCTGATGATCCCGGCCTCGCGGAGCCCTCACCCCGTGCCCCACTCCTTGCTCTCGGCCAAGCTCATGAAGAAGAGCGCGGATGAAACCACCGTCTGAGCCAGCCCGCGGCCACCGCCGGCTGCGGCCGGAGCCGGGACAGCCCTTCGGGACAGGCGACAGGAAAGAGGTTCAGGTCTCCGTGCGGGTGCCGGAGACACCAGGAAACAATCCTGCCACCCAGGGGGACTTGGTGGTCGGCACGTGCTTGATGCCCCAGCAAACGGATGAGAGAAATCTGTCGCGTGGAACGGCCCGAAAGAGGCAGACGGCGAATGTGCCTGTGTGCAGGGACACTTTAACTGAATACCATATGTGGAAAATCTCTCCCTCTATATATGTATATCTATATATAATATTATTTTTTAATGGCCATGCATATTGTGTTTCAGTCCTTTTGTGTTGATGTTCTAAGCTTCAGTATAGAAGCTGGCAGCCTGATCTCATTCAGAGGTTAAATCTATGCCTTTTTCTTCACGTGAGCGTTTAAAGAACATTTTTCACTGACTGTTCTTGAAAGCCCCCTTCTCCTTTGCACTAAATGGGTTTTGATAATATTGCAGCAGCCTTTTCCGTTGCTCTTTGCTCTCTCTTGTGGTGTTTCTTTCCTTTCTAGGAAGTTGTGTGTTTTTAATAATTATTATAATCCCAGAAGGAGTAAAATGACATAATACTGAATGGAGACATTTTGTATTGTAAAATACTGTAATTTTGAGATTTTCAAAAGAAGTCTCGAACGAGAAAACCTTTTCCTGTGCAGATGTGATCTCACAAACCACTTTCTTCCCAGATCCCGCTCGTCCCCAGGACGCAGACGCGCTGCCCGAACCTCCCCCTAGCACAGGCAGACGGAGGACGCGGGAGCGGGAGGCGCTGGCTCCTCTTAGCTAAACTCACCGTTGCCTTTTGCTGTTAAAGCGCTTGGAAAGGACCTTTTCTGACCCCAAGAGGTGAGCGTTGGAGTTTGCTGCTGTATTGCACTGTCTCGAGGCTGGACCTCTCCTTACTCCCTTACCAGGGCGGGTTGTGCTCTGCAGCCCCGGCTGCCTCTGCGTTTTCCTCGCGCATCCCTTGGCCGGAGCTAGAGGAGCTGCTGCGGTTCCGTTCGCCCCTGAAATCGCTGCAGCGGGACCAGGGTCCTGTCCCCCGGCAGGTCGCTCCATCCCCGGGGCCTGTGTCCGCTTCCCCCCTTTATCTCCCATTCCAGGATTATTTTCTGCAATAGCCCAGCACTTTTTGGAGAAGCTGCTGCCTGCCCAGCCTTGGCCTGGCAGACGCCGGTCCCGTTTGCTGTCTGCTCTGGGCACATGGGTCAGATCACGGGGTTGACACCAGGGACTGGCATTTTCTGCTCCCCTCTGTCTCCCAGGCCCCAAAACGGGCTGATCTCTTCCCCGTCTCCCCCTGCCTCTGGGTTCCTTCCTTCCTTCCCCTTCTCTGGGCTCCGCGGTGCCGCTCTGTGCCCAGTGCTTGGTCCCCCCGACCCAGCCCTTCCCCAGCAGCACTCAGGACACCCGGATATTCCCAGCGCAGCAAAAACCTCGGGGGCTGGTTTAACTTTCCCAGTCTGGGCTGCCTCCTGGGAGCCTGGTCTGCTGCTGCATCTGGCAGGTGTCCGAGGATTTGCATTCCCACACTGCGTTCCCATGGCAATGAGGTAACGGAGCCGGTTTCGGCCAGAAAACCCCACGTCAATCCCAAATATGCAACTGTGAAAGCCAGAAGTCGCTGGCTGGGGCAGACGGGGCCTGGCCTTGTGCTGCTGCAGGGCTGCGTCCTCACGTTGCTTCCTTGCCTTGATCATGGTTGCCAATAATCGGAGCTGGGAGCGACTCCTGGAGCCTTCTCCTCCTTCCCGGGAGCCGCTCGGCTCTGGGGGATGCGGGAAAGCGCTCGCGCTGCCCCACCACGTTCCAGTGTCACGAGGAAACGGGCCGTGCAATTATGTAAATAAAAGTGAGACGAGCTTCGAGCTGCCGCGTTGTTACTGGAGGAGAGGGGAGGGCCCCGCGGGCTGGGTGACACTGACTCCCTGGAGGATCCCCTGGAAGGGCAGAAACGGCCCTGCAGGCTGCACGGTCTGAGCTTTGGTGGCCGAGAACGCTGGGGTGGGGACAAGGAGGTGACCCTCCCTCCGCACAGCACCGGGAAAGGAGAAGGCACCGTTTGCCTGGGGGCTCCGAGCAGCCCCGGCGCTGAACCACCCTCTGTGCATCTGCCTTGAGACACTCCTGCTTCTCCCTTTCCCACCCCATCCAAAAATTCTTTCAATTACAAAACTAAAAAAAAAAAAAAGAAAGAGGCATTTCAGAGGCAATTATGCTTTATTTTTCTGGGCTTGTGCTTGTGGGACATAAAATCCAGGGTGTTTGGTGATTTTGCTGGGGAAGACAAAGCCAACGTTACTCCCAGCAGAGGTGGCACTGGGCAGGTGTTCCCCAGCAGCTCATTTGGGTGCCCTCGAACCTTCTGCTCGACTGGATGGAGCATGATGGTCTCTGCTTCTAGGGCAGTCCCATCTTTTGGCTTTTTTAAAATTTAATTTTATTATTCTAGTGCCGTCTTGATTTGGTTCGAGTTTGTTTTTCTGTTTTATGCACAGAGTCCGTGCAAGGTAATACTGGTTCTCTGCAACAATAAAATATGTTTCCAAAAATAATATTCACATGGCCAGTGAAATAACAGCAGAAATCTCAAGGGACTGCCAAGAACAGCCACCTTGGCACCCCAGAAAACTCTTATGTACTTTATTACTCTTAGCAGGCATCTAATAAATAACTGGGGGATGGCAGGGGGAAGAGCAACTCACTGTTTTCTGATTCTCCAGTGCAAAGTGAGGATGTAGGTCAGAGCCAGCAGGAAGGCCGTGACTGCCACCGCCAGGGCTATAATGTAGCTCTTGTGGGTGCTGCGACGGGCACCGTTCCCTCTGTCCACACCTGGAGGCAGTGACACAATTCCACACGTTGGACGGGGAGAGCCCGCGCTCCCGAGGATCTGGCAGCACCTCCCGTGCTCCCTGCACAAGCTGGGGAGTTGCCCTGGGAATTCTGTAGTTGGAGTCTAGGCAAACTCCACCAGCCATAGGAAAATGTTTGTTCTCTTTCAACTGAACAAGGACATTTCAGCTGCAGAAAAAAATCAGCTGAAAGGCATAAATCGAGTTTCCAAGTAGCTGCGGAAGAGTTACAGCTTCCTAAGTCATTAATTACCAAGCGAAAACGCTGCTGCTGTTGCACACACATCTTGAAGGGCAGTTATACAAAAAAAGGAACAAAACTACACTTACCTTCACCAGTTTTGTCCACTGGGATTATGACGACGGGGCCGTTCCTTTCTGGTTTTGGGAAGTTTGTCTCTGATCAGAGAAAGGTAAAGTCTCAATCGCAGGTGGAGCTTTAGCTCCTTCTCTGGAGATCTTCCAAACCCACCTGGATGCCACCCTGTGCCACGTGCTCTGGGTGTCCCTGCTGGAGCAGGGGGTTGGACTAGATCTCTAGAGGGCCCTTCCAACCTCAACCATTCTGTGGTTCTGTGTGTGATTCAGAGCTCTGTCGTTCCTAGCCGGGATCCGTTTGCCGCAGGGAACTGGGCATGGATAGGGAGGAGAGCTTTGCAAAGAGAGAAACGAGCTCATCATTCACCTTCCTCGGTTTTGTACATGGGACCGACGATGAGGCCGTCCATGTAGAGCGGCTTCGACAGATCTGCCAGCACCGTCACTGAGCGGAGAAAGGAGAAAGGACAAAGGTCTGGACGGGTCTCAGCCACGGAGGATCGAGGAGGACGGAGCCTGCGCCCAGCCGGGTCCTCGACCTCCTCGGGACCCGAGCTCCCTACGGATTCACCGTGTGGTGCTCCAGGCTGCATCCCGTATTTTGCTCCCTTGCTAATCTACAGAACTGTAAAATTGCTCTTTCTTTCCAGGCAATAAACGCAGACTACTTACCCGGGGGATCTTGCTGGGGCTTTAAAATCACATCCTGCTGGGAACCTCCTTTGGCTTCATCACCCGGCGTGTCTGTAGGCAAACACGGACGAGAGCAGCTGCCTTTAGCTGTTTCGCTTCCCTGCTCGCCTGAGGAATTGTAAAAATTCTCATTCCTTCCAGGGACCAACGACCCACCCGAGGGATCCCGCCAGGGCTCAAATGTCTGACCCCTCTCTGAAGGTGGGTGATCATCGCCTGCAAGCAACAGGAGGCAGAGCCAAATGACAACACTTTCCGTGTCCTGCTGTCAAGGAAATCTAAGGAATTCAAAAAAAAACCAACCCTCAATCTTTGCAGGGAATAACTACTACGTACCCAGGGGATGGTGCTGCTGCTCAAATCCAGGATTCCTCTGCAAAGAGGGGTGTGCTCTGCCCACAGGAACACCTGTAACACGCAGCAGAACGGTTTCCAGCACAGATTTTGCTCTCCTGCTAATGCAGAGTTGTAAAAATGCTGCCCATCCTGCTCCTCCTCCGGGGGGTGTGAGAAAACTGGGCTCTCGAAAACTGGATGCTTCTTTGAGGAGGGGTTCGCTCTGCTACCAGGACGTTTGAAGGCAAATGTACTCGGGAACACTTGCTGTTACATATTTCACTTGCTCTTGCTAATTTAAGGAATTGTAAAAATGCTTATTCCTTCCGGCACTAAATCCATGCTCTTTTTGGGTGGGAAGGTGGGGAAGCATTCCCTGCAAGCACATTTGGAGGCAGAAACAAATGGCAATTTCCACTCCATGTATTGCTATCCAGGAAATCCAAGGAACTGTGAGAAGCAGCTCATTATTTGCAAGAAATAAATACTACTTACTCGGGGGATGCTGCTGATGCTCAGAAATCGGATCCCTCTTCAGAGATGGATACGCTCTGCCTACAGGGACATTGGAGGCAAGGACAAATGACACCAGCTTCCCCTGCCTATTTTGCTCCTCTTTGAGCTGATGGGGAAGCGGAGGGATCTGTTCTTCCCAGGATGCCCACTACTCACCCAGGGAATTCGGCTGCTCCTCGAAGACCGGTCGCCCGTCCAGAGATGGGAACCCCTCAGCTACCCGGCCAGCTGCAGGCAG